AATGAGTATTTTTTCGATTACACTCGTATAATTTAAAATTACAACCGAATAAATGTTCATTTTTACGAAAACAAGTATTATAACTAGAACTATAGGAGCAAATATTGGGATGCTATGAAGTCTTTAGCACCCTCAAGTTTAAAATTAGCAATAATTTTTTTTTATTTGATTTTAACCCGCTACTTTTCAAAAGTTCAATTTTTGAATTTAACAATTTTATTTTAACTCTAATTTTGTGGCGAACCAAGATTTTTGAAACTTTTTTTGGATTTTAACCAGCTCCATGTGTTCAAATTTACTTTTCCTATACCTATATGGTAAAATTTTCAAAAAATTTGAGTTATTTTTGAGCTATTTATTTAGACGTATTAATTTCGCGAGTTTTGTGCGTAATTTTTATTTGGTAGGTACGGCGTGGTAAAATGTTAGACTTAACAGAAATGATTGAAAATTTAACTGAAGGTTCATTAAAAGTCTTACTTTGTGGTAAAACTAAAATATTTGAGTTTAATGTAGTATTTTTTTTTATGGAGGAATTTAATATCAAATTTTGACCTTTTGTGTAAAATATGATGGGGAATAATTAATATAATTTTTCAATTTTTCGTTTTGAATACATGTATATTGCCGATTTAAGAACGATGGTAAACCTTAAAGTTTAGCGGACTGACTTAGTTTCAAAATTTTAGCTTTTTGATGTTTTGAGATAGAATACAGGTATTATATTGTGTTATGTTAAATAACTCTATTGTTTTTTATTATGTATTATTATGTCTGTCATAGTGGTGCTATGTACTACCTGATTTAGCCAATCAGAATACGTAGATTTATGCACAGGACACGGTGCACGGTGTATTGGAAACTCGGCATTATTGCGGTTGGTGACTACAACGGTTTACTGTGGTTGGGTACCGTGACTGACGAGTTTTAATCGCCATGAGTCGCGGACCACGCTACTGCAGTAGCCTTTATGACTTGTTTTGCGTATAATATGTTTTCAGCTTTTTATTGTGTTAAATGTACCAGTTTTCTCTCGTAAAAAGGTAAAAACGTAAAAACGCCTATTTCGTAGAGTTTATCGTTCGTCCAGAGATGATGGTAATGATTATGTACAAATACAAATATTCGCCGTCAGTGTTGTCTTGCAGACGCGCGTCAGTTGCATGGTGACTCAATTTCCACAGAGGACTTTAAATGAATTCGATTTCTGTTTTAATTTTTTACCTCCTTATACCTTAGTGGCTTAGTGTATATACTTTTGATTTTCAAATAGGACCCACCCTTGTTCCATTTTTAAACACAGATTTGAATAGAGAACAGGTATTATTTAATATTTAAATAGTTTTAAAAAATAGAGCTTGAAGAACTTTTTGAGGAACAACAGTGAAATTTTGAGCGGACCGAGGAATTGACTATGATGTTTATTTTTTTTTTCTGTGGACAACTTATTACCAACTATTTTGCTCCAATTTACAAAAATATCATTTTTATAAAATTAAATTTGATTGGAGAGGTACTTTAGGGAGGTCATTTTTTGATTTCATCAGGAGTTTTTCCAACAAATGGGAAAAAAACATCGTAAAAATCGGGAAAAAACCTATGGAAAAACGGGAAAATAGATACAAATATTATTAAAGAAAATATATAAGTAATGTATATGTAATTATTTTACCATAATGTGATATATATATATTGTTGACAAAGCAACACTTTATTAATCGAACTCCACTCAGAATCGTTTTTCGTTAGCAATGGTTGATCGTTGCGTACAGATATACATCAAATGTCTCCTTTACCTTTCCAACTTCTTACCTACAACAGTGGTCCATTCACAGTAGAAGTATGTCATTCTTTTTGTTTTTATGTAATTCAGTTAAAATTAATCGCAGAGACTGGACATTTTCACTGTGTACTTATACTGGCCCTTTCTACTGCCACGCTAAGTTGAAATAGGATAAGTCCAGTAAATTTGATTGTTGGGAAATTAAGATTTCAACAGCAACTGAATTCAAATAAAAGCACAAGTTAAATAAAAATTTCGCGTTAACCATATGATATTTTGTTTAGTACCTGCAATTAATTGCCCACGTTTTTTAAAACGATTTTCAGTTTTTTTTTATAGGGAAACTTAACTAAACTGATTTAGATCCGGTATACAAATTAATTTAAATTGATTTGAATTCGGATTACAGATTAAGCGATTTGACTCTTAATTATCTCCATTCTCTAAATAATTGTACTGCTTAAGTTTTAGCGGCTGAACGTAAAACGAACCGTACGGCTCATTTTAAATAGCCGATTTGAAAGACCTGATTTAATCGAACGATCCGGTTTTTCTATTCTTAAATCAAAACCCACTTATTTATATATCTGCAATTTTTTCTTTAGCGAAACCGACAAACTCGTACATTGAATTCGACACGTTTTTAGCGGGTATCTGTAATTACATTATCGGTAAGAGAGTGCCATGGGATTTCCTGACACACTTTGGTTTTTTTCCCCATTAGGGGAATCTCGATCGTTTCCATACCAGTTTTTTCGTCGACTGAAAACGCCTTGTATATATATATATATATATATATAAACAAAATTCAGAATAAACGAAAAATCCAACAATGTACGCGTTTTAACCGGGAAACCTCCACCTCGTCGCGGGGTGGGGTGGGGGGCAGAATAAGATTTATTGTCCGGGGAAACTCAAACGGGGCTTCGAAAATTCCGAATAATAAGAATCTGCGGCACCCTATACTACATGGTATACTGTTGCAGTATAGGTGTAAGTTCGTATCCGACCGCCTAACTCGCATGCACCTATTGTGTTCGCGCCAACCCGCAGACACGCGCGTAACGGGAGGAGGAGCGGCCGCAGGGAGAACGTTGTATTGTCGTTATTACACGATATTGCGCCCGCCGCGTACCGCAATCGATACGCGTAGATAGGTTAGGCAGGTATTATATTATTTATTACACGCACGCATCCACACGCGGCACAGGTGTTACTCGTTCGCGGGCGTTTTCGACACCGTCGCGTCTCGTGCGCCGCGCCGCGGCCGCGAGTCCTTTAGGCGCGCGGCACGGGTATTATAAATACTCGTGCGTGTACGCCGGGCGGCGCGCCGACGACGGGCGAGCGCGCGGAGAGACAGACAGTGAGAGAGAGAGAGAGAGAGAGAGAGAGAGAGAGACGATGAGAGAGAGAGACAGCGAGCGAGTGAGACCGCGAGCGGCGCGCACGCACACACACGTACACACACACACACATGCGCGCGCGGACATACACAATAGTTAAGCCGGTATCGAGCGATGTTTTCATTGGACCGTGAAAGATACAATTTTCGAAACCGACCGTGTGTGTATACGCCGCGCGGAGGCGGCGAAGGAGGAGGAGTGCGTGTGTATACGCGGTACACGCGCGCCGTGTTACGAGGGTGTTTGTAATATACGTGTATACGCGCGCGCAGGGTGTGTGTGTGTGTATGCGCGCGCACGAGTGTATTCGAATCGCCCGCACGCGCGTACGTACCGCCGCCGTGATGCGGCTCGTCCTCCGCCCCGCCGCCGCCACCCACGGGGGGGNCCCCCGGGGGGGGGGGGATTGTGTACGGCGCGGCGCGCGTGTGTGTGCCTGCGTGCGGGTGTGTGCGCGCGCGCGCGCGGGAGCGTCTCGTTGTTGCGCCGCGCCGCGAGGGGAGGTTAACAGCTGCGAAATTTCAAAACTGACGCCATTTTGATTTCGCTCTTCCCCTCGGGCGGCGGCGGTTCACCCCTCGGCCGCGTCCGCGGTACACCGCCGTCATCGTCGTCATCACCGTTATGCCGTTATTATTACAATATTCGCGTGCCGGTGCAGACGATATCATAAGATATATAATATTATATACGCGTAAATGTTTCAGTGCAGCGCGGTGTAGTGCAACGCGTATACTAATATAATAGTATAAAAACCCCGGTGCAGAAACCGCGCATGACGCCCCGCCGCCGCCGGCGGCTAGTCAATTGCCGTATGTAGCGACGTGCGCCGCGAAGAAGACGGAGAAGGAGAGAAAAAAAAAATAAAAATTTAATAATCGTATTATATTATAATACGATTATTAATATAAATATAGCGCGCGTTTCGACGCGTATATTATATACACAGTTTTACTCGGGGGGGGCGGAGGGGAGGGGAGAGGGGAAATTTCGCGCGGAAAAACGGCGTTTACTCTTTTCGTTTAATTTCGTTTAAACGGAATTGAAAAAAAATAAAATAAACTAAAACGTTTCGCCGCCACCCCTCGCTTGCCTCGTTACGCGCAATTTAATTAAGCGCGGGCGCGCTTGCGCATAACGACGAGGCTATAATATTATACACGCGTATAAATACATATACTTCATTATCACTGCTGCAGCTTCCGCGCGGTACACCGACCCGATGGACCGTTATAATCATATCAAAATGTACATTAATTTTGATCGAATTATCAACGCGGGAGACGGGTTTAAAATACGATAAGAGCATTTTGTTTTTTTAATTTTTTTTTTTTTTTAAATACATATTTGGCCGTGTCTTTTAGAAAAAATAGTATAACTAGTACCCGGTATTATAACACGAGGTGTGTAAATAAAGTAACGAGATCACCGATAGCGTAACATAATAATGCTATCTGCAGGCAACACTAAGCTAACAACATATGCGTTTGGAAAGGTTTGTCGATAAACATTTATGTACCTTCAGTTATACGAGTTCGAACTTCCTATATAGAGTCACGGTGGCGCGTTGGTCCGTAGTGATTAACTGGGTTTTTTTAGATTCTGAGTGGAGCGAAAAAACTCATGGTTTTATACAAATCTTTATTTTTTTTTTTTTTTCTGTGCGCAACTCTTCAAACCAAAAATCTGACTCCGATTTTTAATTGTAGCAACTTTTCTAAAAGGAAATCGTACTGGGGAGGTAATTTAAATAGGTAATTTTTTGATTTCCTCAGGATTTTTCTCAACGCATGGGAAAAACGTAAGAAAAACGGGAAAATCGGTACATTAAACAAATATTACTAGGGAAAATATTTAATGCCTATTTAATTATTTTACCATAATATTACCTGTATGTATATGTTGTTAGTAAAGTGTCATTATCAACTGAACTACGCTCAGACTCGTTTTTTCTTTTGCAATAGTTCATCGTTGCTTACAGGCATACATTAAATTACCCACATAACAGTGGCTGCACCCGTCCCCATTATCCTAAGACAGCTTTTTTAGTACGTATTCTGAACTGACAACAATTTCGAGCAACGGCGTGCTATTCGATTTTGTTTCGGGCACAGTGCGGTAGATAGATAAATTTTCAGATAGTGTGCTTTCAAGGACCCATGCAGGTTTTTAGGTAGTTTAAGAGGCATATTCAGAAGGCGGAGAGTCGATTGAAGATGAACCTAATAGTGAAAGGCCCTAATTGGACTTCAAAAAATTATGAAAACATTGTTGTCACTCCATTCAACAATTCGATTCGCATAATCTGCAATGTCAGGAAAGATAACCGAAATTTTGGTCTATGGTTAAAAAAAAATACTAGAGATTTATCGAAGATAAAGGATCATTTTCGTTTATTTAGATGACGCGGAGAAAATAATATTATCCTAAGACACAAATATTTTCAAAAGAATGTATAGGTAATTATTTTAGAAATATTTTATTTTGTTATATGGTAAATGGTTTGCCATTATGCGTTATAAAAGTATATAAGTACAGTTGAAAAAAACCAGGGGTGGCAATGGTCCTTTTTGCCCCCCTGCGGGCGCCCTTGTACTGAATAATTAATATATTAAATTACAAAGCCTCAAGAAATAAAAAAATCTGGGTTATGTAGAATTGATTTTTATGAAAACTTGAACTCTTGTTAAGTGGAATTCATTTTATCAATGTCACTAATACGAAAATTAAGTCGTATTAAAATTCTACAATTTCATGTTTTTAAAATTCGATTGTTTTTTTGCGCAGTTGCGATGCCAAAAAATAAAATAAAACGACGATGCACAGTGCCCTTCTTTTTGAGGTAAAAATTTGGTTTTTCAATTATTAGGATATACACTGAGTAACTCTTGTCTAAGCGAAATGAAAAACATGATAGCGTAATTCTCGATTACACAATAAAATAAAGTTGTACATTTTTGATAACGTAATAATAATAATTTCATAATATTAGTAAATTTATCTGAAAGTGAAGTACTTTGCAGTTGACAAAATAAATAAATATGTAGTTTATCAAAAATTTCGTTCAAGTTGCCTATACGTGACCCCTTAAATACTAAGAGGTTTAATATATTATATTGTTAATTTTTTTGCTGCACAAAAGTTTAATTTTTGTTGTAAAGCAAATACATATTATAATATAAGTTTAAAGTATCTTTTTTTCTATTTTGATGTTTTTTTCTTTTATATGTAAGTTATAAGTTTCTTTGGGATTTGGATCTACTTTAGAGTTATTTTTGCCGCCTGTAATAATTTATTCTCTTTGCGATCATTTATCAACAGGAAGTGTTTTTTATTACCGGCCGGCATACAATATTAATTATTTGAAAGTAAAATTGAAACTATACGTACGATATTTGGGTGTATAAATATGTATTTTTCCCCGAAAAATTCGATTTTTGTATAATTATTTTACTCTCAAAAATAAAATACGGCTTCTACTCGTATTTAGTGTTATCATGCCACATAACCCAATCTCAATACTATCTGCTATATCCACTGCCAAAATTGACAAATCTGTTCTGAAAAAATTCACGTTATTTTTAACTAAGTCATTCTACCTCATCTTCGACCTTCACAATAAAAGTATTTTCTCTAAATAAATCCAATATAAACTATCACTGTCCATAGTATAGTGTAGTTTCGGCCCCATTGTCTAGCCCAGAGGTTCCCAACCAGGGTGCTGTGGCATCCTAGGGTGTCACGAACTTAAATTTTGGGGAATTATTTAAAATATATTATTTTTAAAAATATTACTTCGTGAAAAATATAGTACTGTGAATTATAAAATAGACTATAGTACTATATTCAATAGTATACAAATTATTGTTTATAATTAATTATAAACAATAGAATTTAATATATTAATTATATAATACATATAATTTGTACATTGTAATACTGCAATGTTCAATGTTATAATTTGTTTTATAAAGTATAATTTGTGTATATACCAGATACCTACTACTTTTGTTTTTTACAAATGCACTTAGCTAAATAAAACCGAAGTTCCAAAATATAAATTTAAATACACGATATATTACTATTGCGTATTCAGTATAAAGTATAGACCATGTGGTGCCTCCGGATTTTTAGAAAATAATTAAGGGTGAGTCAACAAAGTGACAAAGTGTCAACAGAGTGAGTCAAAAAAGGTTGAGAACCTCTGGTCTAGCTCGTACCACAGTCTTCTTTTCTTTATTTTTATACTCTCTATAAAATATTTTCTTTTTTTCCAAACACGATCTCTGTGGCTCTCTGTTTTTCGTTCGTCTTCATTACTCACAGGTTATGATGGTTATTAAGTCAATGCCGTACACTGCCAACCTCGTACCCACCTCTCCGCCATACGATTTTGCGATAGTTGTTGCTATATTAAACTAATTATATATTTTAGTTATATATTAAACTAATATCCTGTTCTTACGTGTTTTTTTCGGATTTGCTTAATTATTAAGAAAACTACAAGGAAACTAAAAAAAAAAAAAAACAACTGACTTACCAATTAGATACAAATTTTAACAAAAACGAATTTCTCATTTTACATAATAGTAAAACTAAAATGTAAAATATAAAATGTTATACATATTTTATAATACTTTTTTGGAATTCTATCATTCGCATTATGTACAATCTAACATAAAATGATTAAATTCGCATTCACCATTCCTTAAAAAATATAATTGATATTTGATTGCAACCATGAATTCAAGCTTCCCTAATACTGTACTACATAGTATTAGGATGTAGTATATAAAACGCGAATAATTCATAAAATAAACGAATTACGAATAACTACGTCTGTTTTATTCGAGCCAAATAACAATAAGTAATATTATTATGAAGCACTTTTGCCGTTTGGTTTGTTATACGAGTATGTAATGTATTATTCGAGTTAAAAAATATAAAACTCATTGTAGCGCTTAACAGTATGGGTAATAAAAAAAAAAAAATAATAATAAAAGTTTCGCATAATTATTACAATGATAATGAAAACATATTATACATCAATAACAATTTGTGTTATTAACGTAACGCGTTGTTTATGAGATTGATATTGGTTTTATGGGTTTTATATTATAGTTTTATGCGATTGCTAAAACTTCACGACTACGTGAATTCTTATGAAGAAACATTATAACTAATATCAAAACACTTAACACTGAATAAGAATGTTTTTATACGTTTATATAACCTCCACACGAGTTTTCTCAGTGAGGCCCAATATTATCAGGTGTGGATTTATATATGTAGTGGCCCGTGGGCGGAATATATAGTGGAGACCCAAGATAAATAAACATTTGTTGATTTTCTGTTTATTTAATGTATGCTAAGTAATAAAATATAAAAGCATTTTAATCAGGTCAGTCATGATACGGAGTTTATAAACATAAATTGTTAATAAAGCATTAGTAAAAAAATGATAATATTAAATAATGTGATTAAAATTAAATATCTGGAACTTTTCTTGATTTTATGTTAACAATATCGTCAATTATATTTTAAAAATTAATTTAAAATAAATAATCGGAATTATGTCGGTATAAGATTTAAAAAGACAGTCATACTTCGCACGAAGGGAGAGCCACTGTTGTAAGTGAGAAGTTGGGAAGATAGAATATAGAAGGGAATTAATGTATATTTGTACCCAACGATTAATCATTGCTAAATGATTTTTAGCGGAGTTCCATTACACACGTTTTAAAAGGTCATAATATTCTTAAAAAAAAAAACTACATTAAACTCAAAATTATCTTGTTAATCACTACATTTTCAAGCACCTGCCGAATAAAAAACTAAATAAAAAATGAAATGTCTAAAAATAGCTCAAAAATGGTTTAAATATTTTGAAAATTTCGGGAACCTAAGTTACGTCCCGTAAAAAATGTATACACGAATTGCGTCTCACTATATTGGTTAGATAGTAGATTTGTATTTCGTTTTCAGAGGTTCTCCGTGATGCATTCATAAGGGAGCCTGATATTAAGTTTCGATATATTATATTACGTGCCTAATATTATAAATTACGATAATGAATGAATTCTGTTACCAATGCCTTGTTGATAAGCAACAATAAGCATGTTAATATCATTATTATTACTATTATTATTTTTACTGGCATTTTGATTGATATCATTATTATAATTAATATTTATTTAATTTATGATATTACAGACTATATTCAATTTTTTGGGATGCAATTCATGTATACTTTTGGAGAATCAAAAATAACCTCACCAAAGTATTAATTAGATAAAATTCCCTTTTAGTAAAGGCCCTACACTTGAAACATTGGAACAAGATTTTTGATAAAATTTTTGTACACAGTATTATAGTAAATAATACATTTTATATGTAAAAAAATAAAAATTAACATCATTGTAAAACCAATACACCGCTTCACTCAAAATCTAAAATTAATGAAGTTGATATATTTTAAAATACGATTAAATTATATTCTTTACTTTGCTATTTTTAAAAACTTATTCACAACTTAAACGAAAGTATCGATGTTTTCATATTTTTTAATGTTAATTTCTAAATAATATTTAAAACAAATTAATATCTCAAACAAACAATAATAAAAGACATAAAAGACAATATATTAATTTATTATATAGTTATTATTGTAGAGTTTAAACTTACCTCAAAAGAAACAGTGGTATTTGGCTGTGTTATTAAAAATTCTGTTATTCGCCTGGGTTTTGAAATTATTTCGGTATTAGTTTTAGTTTTGTCTTTTTAGTTGATTTGCGGTTTTCTACACTACTCATATAAACCCGTTTTAATTTATGATGATCTTGTTCCATTTAAAATATGTAAAGTGGTCTTTACGTCTTTACTATTGTACTGTTACAGTCTCGAACAACGTCGTTGATATTGTCGATTGAACTAATCTAATAAAATTGTTTTCGACAAAGAATTCGTCGTTCGTCGTTTACCATCATGTTACCAATAATTTGACGTATAATCC